CGAAGGTAGGAAATCGCTTCTCTGTTCTCCAGGACGAACGTACTTCAGTGATCAATGGGGTTAAATTTACCACTAACTCCTCTTCAAAAAAAAAAAAAAAAAAAAAAAAAAATCTAAGACTATCCTTGAGGCCGGTGACTCACAGGTAAGATATATTGACCTCACAGACTGAGATCCGGGGATCGATCCCCGGGTACGGCTGGAAAACATTAGGACTTGTTAACTGGTGTGGGTAGTATCCTGGGACAAAATTGACCTAATTTGCCCGAAATGCTCTGCATAACAAAGGGCTTTCAGTATAGTAATATGTCATTGATGTCTGCTAGGCCTGTATACCTTGTACATATACTTGTAGAAATAAAGATCTATTATTAGATTATAGGAAGGTGAAACAGAGTGTGTTTTCCCTGGAGCTGGTAATGACATAGTCAACATGTTAAATAATATAATTTCAGGTAATGGTGGAAAATATATTATGGATGGCAGAAGACAGGAACTGCTAGATAAGTATTGGACAGGTATAAATTTAATTAGGTCTAAGGGAGGGATCCCAGTCATATGTAGCATCTTGCCTAGAAAAGGAGTGGGCAATGAATGGATGTTTAGGCTAGTTGGTGTAAATTGCTGGCTAGACAGGTACTGCAAGGAACTTGTAATCCCATTCATTGACAACTGGAAAAATTTCTATGTCAAACATGATATATATGCAAGGGGTGGGGGTACATCTCTCTGGGGCAGCATTAGTGGTAGCATTAGCCAACTCGATCAAGGGGGGTCGTTGCTAAGTTATCTAGGACTTTAAACTGAAAGAAAGATAGAGTTATGGGTATGTGTGGGAAACAAACCGGTTGTGGCATGAGGGATGATATCCCCAGGGATATGTTTAAAAGACATTAATCATCATAAAGTTACTAATAAATGCAATGGAACTGGACAACATACAGATGGTTACATTAGAAGGCAGCTATTGACTATCTCCCTTAAGGTTTACTATGCTAATAGTAGGAGCGTAAGAAATAAGGTAGATGAGCTACAATCAACTGCATGTGCAGGTAGCATAGATATTATTGCTCTAACAGAGACCTGGTTCAATCTGAAAGATAGAGAAATGCCTTGTGAATGCTACGTACATACAAGCCTGTACATTATTCTACACTGATAGGGTCAACAGGAAGGGTGGTGGAGTGGCGGTGTATGTCAAGAGATAACTGGTATTGTTGGTTAGACAAGATATAAAATTAGAAGCGTCTGACACTGAATCTGTTTGGCTACAGTTTCTCGAGGGCTGTGAAAAACTAATCTTGGGTGCGATTCACATGCTCCCAAATCTTGGTAGGGAATGCGGTAAACTTCTATGGTAAAAAATTCATAAAGTATCTAGATATGAAAATGTTATGTTAATGGAAGATTTTAGCTTTAGAAAACTGACTGGAGCAGTGTGAGAGGAAATTACCTGATTGACTTGGTTCTTGTCTACAAGGAATATCTAATTAATAATCTTGAGGTTAATGATGAGCTTGGGGAAAGTGATCACAGATCACTCATTATCAATATATAATGGAATTACCTTAACTGCAATCAAGTCAGTGTCCCTGACTTCTGCTTTGCTGATTTCATAGGACTGAGAAATTACCTGGGTGGGTTGAACTGGAATGACTTGACTGTGGGTCAGGTAGATAGTGATGGATACCAATATGACATTTTTCAAAGCATAGTTCTAGTTGCCCAGACTACTTATGTTCCAAATAGAGAATTTAGGTTAAATGAAAATGACCCTAAATGGATAAACAATAGATTAAATCATCTAATAGATCAAAAGAGAGGCATTTACAAACGAATCAAAAGGGAAGATGGCAGTTAAGAAATCAATAAATTAAAAAGATAAAAAAGGAATAAGAAAATTAAAGAAATTATGAGGTTAAAGTCACAAGGGATTCAAAGATTAATCCAAAAGGTTTCTTTCAGGTATATAGGAGTAAGATTAGGGACAAGATAGGCCCACTCAAAAGCTGCTCAGGTCAGCTCAGTGACAGTGACAAAGAAATGTGTAGAATCTTTAACACTTATTTCCTCTTAGTTTTTACACAGGAAGATATCGACGAAATTCCAGAGATAATAAATTATGTAGAACAGGACGAAAATAAGTTATGCACGATTAGTGACATGGTTCTCAGACAAATAGATAAATTAAAACTTAACAAATCCCCAGGCCCTGATGAACTGTTTGCAAGGGTGTTAAAGAAATGTAAGGAAGAACTTAGCAAACCTTGGCTAGTCTTTTTAACCTATCACTACAAACTGGCATAGTGTCTGGTAAGTGGAAAATGGCAAATGATGCCTCTTTACAAAGCAGCTTCGAACTATGGATCAATAAGCCTAACCTCCATTGTGGGAAATTAATGGAATAATTGCCGAGGGTGTTCGAAGTCACCTTGAAAGACATAAATTGATTAATGAATCTCAGCATGGTTTCACAAAGGGGCGTTCCTGCTTTGCGTATTTACTAACTCTCTTCACTAAGGTATTTGAAGAGGTAGATCATGGTAATGAATATGATATTTTGTATATGGACTTCACTAAGGCTTTTGATAGAGTTCCACATCGGAGGTTACTGAGGAAAGTAGAGGCATGGAATAGGAGGATTTTCTTCCTGGATAGAGACGTGGTTGACAGATAGGCAACAGAGAATCTGCATAAATGGGGAGAAATCAGAGTGGGGAAGCGTAACAGGCGGTGATCCACAGGGGTCAGTGTTGGGCCCCTTGTTCACAATTTATATGACATAGATGAGGGAATAAACAGTGACATAAGCATGTTTTCCGACGACACCAAAATAGGCCGTCAAATTAATTCTGACATGGACTCTAGAGCACTGCAGGAAGATCTGAATAAACTGATGCAATGGCCGGAGAAGTGTCAGGTGTAGCTTAATACAGATAAATACAGATCTAAGCGTTGGAAAGAAAAATAACCATGCTACATATAACTAAATAATGTAGATCTGAATATCACTGATTGCAAAAAAAAAAAATTAGGAGTTCGGGTCAGCAGTAATCTAAAACCAAGACAGCAGTGCATAAGTGTTCGTAATAAAGCAAATAGAATTCTTGGCTTCATATTAAGAAGTATACATAACAGGAGTCCTCAGATTGTTCAACTTTATATATCGTTGGTTAGGCCTCATTTAGATTATGTTGCACAGTGCTAGTTATTGTATTACGGAATGGATATAAATGCGCCTTAAAACGTACAAAGGATGACAAAGTTAATCACATGTATCAGAAACCGAGGGTAGACTGAGAGCCTTGAATCTGCACGCTCTAGAAAGGCATGGAATTACGGAGGAGGATATGATTGAGGTGTATAAATGGAAAACAGGAATAAATAAAGGGGATGTAAATAATGTGCTGAAAATATCTAACCAAGAAAGGACTCGCAGCACTGGTTTCAAGTTGGAAAACTTTATATTTAGAAGGGATATAGGAAAGCACTGGTTTGGTAATCGTCATTGAAGCTTAAACGTTATGTAGTTTTAAAAATAGGTTAAACAAATAAATGAGAAGGTGTGAGTGGCGGTGAGTTGGACCTGACAGGCTTGGGCTAGTGGGTCTGATGCAGTGCTTCTTCCTTCTTAAGTGGATGTGACTTGGACCTGACTGGCTTAGGCAGATCCTAGGCAGGTGTATGTTTTTCAGTGTGTATACACTTAATCCCAATTTTTAGTATTACATTATTCTTGACTGGTAGAGAATATTACACGCAGCCTTAAATTACCCTTCGAGTAGTCAGCTGGCCTAAAGCCCAATTAACCAACATATATTATGATTATATTACTCTCAGAATAGCTTTATTTATAATAGTATAGTTGAAGCAGCCATCAGTGAGACACTACTTCAGCTCCCACGGTGATCAAATTGAACTAGCCTCTACTAGCCTTCATTGTGACATTTTCACTCACTCTTCCCTCGGCCTACCCGCCGGTGATGTATATCCAGTGTCCACCAAGTGGGAGTCAACAAGCGATCACTGAATTCTGTTATTTTTCAACAGGTTCTCCACGAAGGAGTCGGCCACTCATGCTATAGTCTCTGTGCACAACTCTGAGATCAACGGCCAGCCAGTCAAGTGTTCCTGGGGCAAGGAATCCGGAGACCCCAACAATACCCCAGTCACCACTCAGGTCATGGTAGGTCATGCTTCAGCTCTCTCGTATTTCATATCTTCTAGTAGGTCAGGTCATGGTAGGCTATGCTTCATCTCTCCTTTATATTCCCTGTCATTTAGTAGGTCAGGCCATGGTAGCTTGTTGAGGCTGTTTAATTGCCTCTTGTATTCTGGAGCACTGTAGGTGTTCGGGTCATATTTATTGCCCTTTTGTGATCTTACTCTTGCGTAAACATCTTGCTGTTACAACTAGATAACTGTGTCATTTCCGTCTGTGTGCACACTTCAACACTTGATCATTTGGAACACAGAAAAATTACGACTCCCCAAATTGAGATAAAATTAGATATTTCGGTCCGTCATGGAGCGAGTGAAAGAGAAAAGGGAAGACAACCACAAATCAGTTACAGGAAAGAGACTTTCCCTTTCTCCTTGCTGTCTCCACCAAACCAAACTTAAAGTTTTCTCATCAATTTTCTGTTACTCTCGACTTGGTAAAGATTCTTGACGGCCTGAAACGTCGTCTAGTTTCATCTTCAATTTGTAAGTTTGCTGTGAATTTAGTATGCACTTTTCATTGACATCATAAGGGCAGTAAGTATTAAGGTTAAAACATCAAAAAAATTAGCAACGTGAGCCTTTAATGAAAAATACTTTGCTCAAGTGTGAGTTTTATCAAGTTAAAGTATGAAGCGTCAATATATCCTTCATAGGAAAAGGGCATCCTGACACGGATCTTGTGTAGCTGATGACCCGTTCAGTTGTTCCTTGAGTGTAACTGGAATAGTTTGAATGAAAGAACACAAGTGCATAACTTAGAACATCCAGTAAAGATGTCCTGAGTGTGTGCACTCGTCTTCTGTCATCCATATTGTCGGTATCATTATACCTTCTACCTGGAATAGCATGTAAACACCGGCAAGGTGGAGTAAATGATACGCAGATACAGTGGTGTCTGCTGCATCTAATTGTCTTTTACTCTGGAAGGAGTGTCAGTGGTGTAGAAGTGAAGATACCAATAATGTTCCTATGGCTGAGGCCCTGTGCGTATACTACACAAACTTATATACCCTAGTGCAGTAGGTGAGGAGAAAAGTGGTAGGGCATGATGGTTAACAAAGTGTCACATAAACTTAATACTCGTTATAGTAGATGAAAAAAGTGTTGACGGTGTGGTGGTAAAGGATGAGACGGAGCTTGATATTATTTGGTCAGTTGTTAGACCATGTTTCCCGAGAACGAGCTGCTGAAAACTTCCCGAGTCTGTTCAGTTTTATGCCTCAGTATAACCTTTGATTCTAGGCATCATCTACAATTTGGAGAGAAAACAATAGACATGTCGATTCGTCCTGAAATGTGCAAACGTATGTGTTCTTGAATTCTCGCGTAGTCATCAAGTAAATTTTCATCCATGAAATATGGGTCCCATTCTGCACAAGGAATATCATAAGGGATCCAGAGATGCCACAGTAGTGGGTCTCTGACATCAGGGATACATCATATGGTCAGGTAAGCCACACCGGTGATGACGTTCTTTCAGTGACTGGGTGAGGGATGGTGGTCGTAGCACAACCTCTCGCTAGTACGATCTCTCCCAACTTCGATGCGTTGTCTTGGGGTGTCAAAAATTTATTAGAACTTTTTCTTTATTTCTAAATGAAATATGTGATTAATTTTAGCGTTAAAGATATGTTAGTGAACATTGGCTTTTTCCTGAGAGTTAACAGGATATACTTAGTGACTTCGAAGAATGCCGTCACATTGCCAGAATGTTATCTACACTGAAAGTTCCAAGCGCTTCACTGGGGAATGCAGACGAAATGCTAAACTAATCCTTGACACGGCGAAAGTAATTGATGGATCACCTTGTATCCCCGCCAGGTGACTCATACGCGCACCACACCTTCCCCTGTGCACCATGTGATAAAATTTCATGGGTGAAACTGCACGTAGTATCCACACCAGATTTCAGGAACACGAATACGCTAGTGCGCGTGTCGCACACCAGGACAGAATCGTGCACCACATATTGTGGAACAGAAATACAGAACAATTTACAGAGGCATAGAAAAAGAAAGTTAAACTTTAAAAAAAAAAGGTCAAAATTAGGTCGTGTTCGGCATTGCCTCACCTGCATAACTCGCATTCAGAACCCGTGGTCTGACACCTGCTCTAATGGGCTCAGGTGTGTCCTTACCTTCACGCAACACTTCACATACTGTGACGGGGTATACAAGTTCGTGTTATGTGTTCTTCTCTAGTATTTAAAGCACATACTTGAGCATACGATTCTCTAATAAAGGTTTATCTTTGTTTTCTCCTTGCCTCATTGTAGAGTTGGTCCGTCATAACAGCGTCACAAGTGTCATATTATTGTCATATTAGTGTCATCTTATTGCTTGCAACTCTCACATAACCTTCGCCTGTAGTTGACACATACTTGTTGGGTTCCACTTATGCAATCAAGATATCTGTGCAACACTTAACATATTTTATCAGGAGACGTTTCGCCCACTGAGAGCTTCACTAATCCACTGCATTGACTGGATTGATAAAGCGCCCTTTCCCCCTGTAGGGGAAACATCTCTTATTAAAATGTCCTAAGTGTTTCATGCGTGTTTGTATTCAAGAGTTTGAGTCTTGTTATAACTAGTAGCTGTAGCCAGAGTTTAACTGGTGTTACACCCTGAGGGTAGGCAGAGTACGCTTATTGTACTTAATGTAATTACTAGCTGTCCATTATCCATTGTCCGTCACATGTCATGTGACATAGTAGATATATAAATAATGTTGTACATATTTAATCACTTAGATATTGTAGACATACTTAGCGGAACGTGTCAGGGATCTGTTAGTAAATAAGTGAATGATAGATAATTAAGTGACATAATGCATGGTAGGTGTCCCTGACACGTCAGCGCCGTGCCCTGTGCGTCAGCTAACACGGCCGCTGCTGACACCGAGGACAGCAGAGGTAAGCACTGCTTGAGGTAAAGAATTAGACATATGTGCAACATTTCGGTATCATGTGTCTAATTCTTCATCTCGTCGGTATAATATACCATTTATGTACCACTCTTAAAGGCCCTTTGGGTGGGGGCTGGGCAAAGGTTGGCGGGGCAGGGGGGCCTCGTGGCGTCTCTGTGTCAGTGGCCCCTTCTCGTCTTTCAGAGCCCCCGATGTTCCGAAGCTTTCTTTTGCGCCGCTCCCGGGGCAGTACCCTAAAACTCGGGGGGAAAGTGGGTACTGTACCCTCAGGGCTCCCGCCCCAGGTGCAAGGGCCCAACAGTTCCGGCATAAAAAGGTTTCGCCAGGGGACTATGGCTACCAACAGGGGTAGGACCTACTCTTGTCCCCCTTTTCTGTTGCTCCTGTCTGGGGTTCCCCCCAGGCCCCGTGGGGCCCAACACCCGGGCGGCCACACCGGCCCCCCCCCACCCTGTGTGTTTTGTGCCCCTGCCATGGTCACAAGTTTTCGCGTGGGGGGGGGGGGCGGGGGGCTTTCCTGCGGGTGATGCCACCTTCACCATTTTTTTTTTTTTTTTTCGGGGCTGAGGGGCCACCTGGGAAATAACATGTTTTTTTGAAATATTGAGATATATCTTGATGAAACGCAACACACCCCAAGCAAGTGTGACACTCTCGACACCCCATCCCCCCTCTCCCCCAGTCTGACACACTGGGACACCCCAGCCCTCCCTCCCCCCCCAGTGTGCCACTTCGACACCCAGTCCCCCCCTCTCCCCCGTCGACACTCCGACACCCCGCCCTCCCTCTCCCCCAGTCTGACACACTCGACCCCCCAGTCCCTCCCCTCCCCCCAGTGGCACCTCGCCCCCACCCCTCCCTCTCCCCCGTGCTGACACACCAACCCCCCAGTCCTTCCCTTCCCCCGGGTGCTGACACTCAACACCACAGTCCTTCCCTCTCCCCAATGCTGACACTCAACCCCCCAGCCCTTCCCCCCCCCAGTGCTGACACTCAACCCCAGCCCCTTCCTCTCCCCATGCTGACACACTCAACACCCCAGTCCTTCCCTCTCCCCCCAGTGTGACCACCAACACCCCGCCCCTTCCCTTCCCCCATGCTGACACCTAAAACACCCCAGCCCTTCCCCTCCCCCCCATGCTGACATCCCCCCCCAGTCCTTCCCTCCCCCCGGGCTGACACCCCCAAACACCCAGTCCTTCCCCTCCCCCATGCTGAACTCAAAACCCCCCGTCCTTCCCTTTCCCCCCATGCTGACACTCAAACCCAAAGTCCTTCCCCTCTCCCCCAGTGCTGCACCAAACACCCGCCCCTTCCCCCCCCCCCAGTGCGACATCTAAAACACCCCGTTATTCCCTCTCCCCCAGTCTGACACTCTCAACACCCCGTCCTTTCCCCTCCCCCATCGACTTTCTTAACCCCCCAATCCCCCCCTCCCCCCCATGCTGACATCAACCCCAGTCCTTTCCTTCCCCCCATGCTGACACTCAACACCCACCTTCCCTCTCCCCCAGTGCTGACCTCAACACCCCAGCCTTCCCTCTCCCCCGTGTTTACCTCAACACCCCGCCCTTTCCCCCTTTCCCCCATGCTGAATTCCAACCCCCCATCCTTCCCTCCCCCAGTGCGCCCCCTTCAATACCCCAGTTCCCCCTCCCCAGGCTGCACTAAAAAACCCCCAGTTTTTCCCTCCCCCCAGTGCTGACACTCTCAACCCCCCACCCTTCCCCGCCCCCCAGTGCTACCTCAACCCCCCGCCTTTCCCTCCCCCCCAGTGTGAAACTCAATACCCAGTCCTTCCCTCTCCCCCAGTGTGACACTCCACACCCCAGCCCTCCCCCCCCCCAGTGCGACATCAACCCCCCACCCCTTCCCTCTAGTGCGACACTCAACACCACAGCCCTTTCCCTCTCCCCAATGCTGACACTCTCAAACCCCCAGCCCTTTCCCCTTTCCCCCAGCTGACATTTTAAACCCCATCCTTCCCTCCCCCCCAGTGCTGACACTCTCAAAACCCCATCCTTCCCCTTCCCCCATGCTGCACTCTAAACACCCCATCTGACAACCCCCAGCCTTTCCCTCCCCCAGTGCTGACAAACCCAGTCCTTCCCTCCCCCCCAGGTACATCTCAGCCCCCCACCCTTTTCCCTCTCCCCAGTGGACAACCCCCCAGTCCTTCCCCCGCCCCCCAGTGTACACTCAACAAGTCCTTCCCCCCCTTTCCTCCCCCCATGTGACACTCAAACCCCCCATCCTTCCCTCCCCCATCTGACATTTTCAACACCCCAGTCCTTCCCTCTCCCCCATGCGACACTCAACACCCCACCCCTTCCCCTCCCCCCCAGTGCGACACTCCACCACGCCCTTCCCTCCCCAAGTGCTGACACTCTCACCCCCCAGTCCCCCCCTCCCCCAGGCTGAAAATTTCAACCCCACCCCCTTCCCTCCCCCCCCAGTGCTGCCCCTTCAAACCCCACCCTTTCCCCCTCCCCCAGTGCGACACTTCGCCCCCCAGCCCTTCCCTCTCCCCCAGTGCGACAACACCCCAGTCCTTCCCCCCCCCCCAGTGCTGACACTCAACATCCCATCCTTCCCTCCCCCCCAGTGCTGACACTCAACACCCCACCTTTCCCCTCCCCCCCAGTGCTGACACACCACCCCCCAGTTTTTTTCCCCTCCCCCCATGTGCCCAACACCCACCCTTTCCCCGTCCCCCAGTGCTGACACTCAACACCCAGCCTTTCCCCTCTCCCCGTGCTGCACTCAACACACAGTCCTTCCCTCCCCCCAAGGCTACATTCCAACCCCCCAGCCTTCCCCCCCGTGCTGACATTTTTCAACCCCAGCCCTTCCCCCCCCAGTGCTGCACCTCACCCCCAGCCCTTTCCCTCTTCCCCAGTGCGACACTCTCGCACCCCATTCCTTCCTCCCCAGTGCTGACAACACCCGTCCTTCCCGTCCCCCGTGCTGACACTCAACATCCAAGTCCTTCCCTCTCCCCCATTGCTACACTACACCCCAGTCCTTCCTATCCATGCTTGACATTGATCAAGCACCCATTTCCCCCTCAGTGCGAAACCACCCTTTATTAAAATTTCCCAGTCTTTCTGCCTTTGTGAATCAACACTTTGCAGTCTTCCTTCTCCCAGTAGCTGAGCCAATCTAACCCAGTCTTCCCCTAGGCTGGCAACAACCCCTTATTGACCAGTGTAATTACTAGCACCCATTATCCATTGTCCTCACATGTCAGTGACAAGTAATTTTCCCGTCCATGTTGACATCTACACCCCACTTCCCTTATTGTAGACACTACTTAGCAACGTGCAGGTCCTGTTACTAAGTGTGAATGCTACAATTTTAAGTGACATAACCCCCATGTCTCTCTCCCTGGAACACCCCAGCCTCCCGTCCCCAGTGCGTCAGCTAACACCCCTTCCTGTCCCCCAGGCGGACACTCAAAGGTCAGCCTCCCTTCCCAGTGCTACAGACAAGACCCCATCAACTTTTCGAGTCAGTGTCTAACTTCTCCGCAGTTTTTCCCTTCTCCAGTGTACCACTCACACCCCAGTCCTTCTCTCCCTGGTGCACTCTCTACACCGGCAGCCTGGGCCTCTGGCTGTGCTCTGTCACCCCCAGTCCTCCCTTCTCCCATGTTCAGACGCCTCCACCCGATGTCTTTCCATCCCGTCTTTGACATCTCAACCCGCCGGTCCTTACCCTACAACTCGCCAGTGCTACCTCTAACCCCCAGGCCTTCCCCCCCCAGGTGAAGCCAACAGTCTGTCTTCCAGGCTACACCTACGACAGTCCTTCCCCACCCCCAGGGGTGGACCTACACCCATGTCTCCCTCTTCTGCTGCATCCTGTCCGTGGCCTTCCTCCCCTCCCCGTGGACTCACACCCGGCGTCCTCACCGCCCCCACTCCATCACCCTGATTTCCTTTGACCCCGCCCGTGCGACACTCACACCCGGTCCTCTCCCAGTGCTGATCCACAGTCTTCCTCCCGGGGTGATGGCCACCTTCACCAGCCTTTTCTTTCTCATTGACACTCACATCCAGTGCCACCCTGGCTAACATAACATGTTTTGATAGTCTGAGATAACCCCTTTCTTCCCAATGCTAACGCAACACCCACCCCACTAGTGCTGACACTTCAACACCCCCAGTCCTTCCCTCTCCCCCAGTGCTGACACACTCGACACCCCAGCCCCTTCCCTCCCCCAGTGCTGACATCTCACACCCAGTCCCTCCCTCTCCCCCAGTGCTGACACTCTCGACACCCCAGTCCCTCCCTCTCCCCCAAGTGCTGACGCACTCAACACCCCAGTCTTTCCTTTCCCCCAGTGCTGACAACTCAACACCACAGTCCTTCCTCTCCCCCAGTGCTGACACACTCAACACCCCAGTCCTTCCCTCTCCCCCAGTGCTGACAAACACCCCAGTCCTTCCCTCTCCCCCAGTGCTGACACTCAACACCCCAGTCCTTTCCTCCCCCAGTGCTGACACTCAACACCCAGTCCTTCCCTCTCCCCCAGTGCTGACACACTCAACACCCCAGTCCTTCCCTCTCCCCCAGTGCTGACCCCTCAACACCCCAGTCCTTCCCTCTCCCCCAGTGCTGACACTCTCAACACACCCAGTCCTTCCTCTCCCCCAGTGCTGACACTCTCAACACCCCAGTCCTTCCCTCTCCCCCAGTGCTGCCCACTCAACACCCAGTCCTTCCCTCTCCCCCAAGTGCTGACCTCTCAACACCCAGTCCTTCCCTCTCCCCCAGTGCTGACACCTCAACACCCCAGTCCTTCCCTCTCCCCCAGTGCTGACACTCTCAACACCCCAGTCCTTCCCTCTCCCCCAGTGCTGCCCTTTCAACACCCCAGTCCTTCCCTCTCCCCCAGTGCTGACGCTCTCAACACCCCAGTCCTTCCCTCTCCCCCAGTGCTGACACTCTCAACACCCCAGTCCTTCCTCTCCCCCAGTGCTGACACTCAACACCCCAGTCCTTCCCTCTCCCCCAGTGCTGACACACTCAACACCCCAGCCCTTTCCCCTCTCCCCCAGTGCTGACAAACACCCCAGTCCTTCCCTCTCCCCCAGTGCTGACACTCTCAACACCCCAGTCCTTCCCTCTCCCCCAGTGCTGACACACTCAACACCCCAGTCCTTCCCTCTCCCCCAGTGCTGACACTCTCAACACCCCAGTCCTTCCCTCTCCCCCAGTGCTGACACTCTCAACACCCCAGTCCTTCCCTCTCCCCCAGTGCTGACACTCAACACCCCAGTCCTTCCCTCCCCCCCAAATGCTGACGCTCTCAACACCCCAGTCCTTCCCTCTCCCCCAGTGCT